GTTCGACTCGACGATTGGGCAGTATCGTGTTCGACTTGACGATCGTTTTCGGGTCGACTATCGTGTTCGACTCGACGATCGGGCAGTGTCGTGTTCGACTCGACGAGCGTGTTCGACTCAACTGTCGTGTTCGACTCGACAATCAGACATCGGGYACGATCGTGTTCGTGTCGGGCACTGTCGTGTTCGACTCGACGATCGGGCACGATCGTGTTCGACACGACGATCGGAGACGATCGTATTGGACTCAACGATTGGGCGCGATCGTGTTCGACTCGACGATGGGGCACCATCGTGTTCGACTCGACGACCGGAAGTGCCACGTGGCGTTATGTGGTTGAATCTGGGCTGCGTGGTTGTGTCCTCACCGTCCGATCCTTCAAACTCGGGGTGGTCCGCTGTGGTTGTGCGTCGTGATCTCGGGCCATATGCTCGCTATGTCGTCGTGCGGAACACGCCTCTCAACAGCGCTGTGGTCCGCCGTTGCGTCGAGCAGGTGGTCGGCTATGCACGGACCGAATCCCTGCGCTCCCTTGCTGCGCTGTACACGAGCCTCCACTGCGCCGCGCTGCGTCGACGAACCTCCGCTGTGCTGCTCTACTGCTGCCTTGCCGAACTGAAACGAAAATGGGAACTGGTGGCCCTCCCTCATATATATAGTTTTTCGGGAGGGCCCTTCGCGAGCACCTGCTGGGCATCCGATCCAAGAATACTGACAGTCGGGATTTTCCGATGGGGAGTGGTGGGCCTTCCTCATATAAGTGGTTTTCCGAGTGGTCCCTCCGCGCGCGCCTGCTGGCCGTTCGATCCGGGAATACGGACGGTCCGATCCGGGAACACGGACAGTCAGGGCGATCCAATGCCTGCAGTTGGCCGCGATCGTTTTCCCACCTTGACCGGAGTGGAGGCGCGGGGATGACGTTCAGCTGCAGAGCAGAAATGTGATTCGCGCACATGAGCTCCCGCGATATTGTGTCATCGTTCCCGTTCTGGGAGAATCAGCGCAGCCGTCCGCTAACGTCGACACGACAACTGCCCTGCTCTCCAGGTTAGTGCCGCTTCGGCCAACACGGCCCCCCCCC